TATATATATATGTATATATATATATATATATTCAAAGACTTGGATACTCTTTTCAGTATTAGCTATCAGGTCCAGTTTTTTTTAAAATAAATTCGTACGTTCTTTCTTATATATTTCTATTATATATATATATATATATACCTTCATGACATTAATACTGCTCTGCTTAACTGGCCCTCCTGGCAAATATAGTGTAGTATGTATGTATATGTCTATGTCTATACATATGTCTCTATATATGACTTGTCATTCAGAGAATTACATTGTGTGTTGGACTAAGGCACACACTTGGATAATGAATGGGCCGATAATTGTTATGGGCTGCTGGTATATTAAGTATTTATATTCATTTATATACATGTACGCAGTTACGAATATATGGTGTACTTTTGGCACTTATCCATTAATGGCCACATGTTACTTATGTTACAACTATGGCAATGACGAAGTGAGTAGAGTGAGAGAGAAAGAGAGCGAAGCTTAGTACGGTATTGCACGTTAGATCCGATTACCACTTTGGCTAATTGGTTACTTGGCGTATGTTGGTCCTGGAATAAGAGCGAATAAACCTGAATGATCCGAAACTTCTGAGTTCGAGTGGCTGTTGGTAGAACGTCTTTGGCAGGCAACAAAAACTTAGTGACATTATAGCTATTGTTGCATATGCTATCATGGTACTGCTAGACTGCTACGAAACGCTTATTGCTCCAGTTTCAGTTGAGGTGGGTGTTGCGCTATTGCCAGTCGCGGGTGTCGGATCGGATGTATTGCGACGCTTCATGCTTAAACTAGGGGTGTCAATGGACGACTGGGAAACTGGACCAATGTGAATGTTGCTGCTGTTATTGCTATTGCTATTGCTGATTCTGCTGCTGCTTGTGGCTGCTAGATGATTACTTAACCGTTGCTGGAAGTGCTGACTAAAGCTACTGCTAAAGACCGAATGATGCGCATGTGGATGAGGGTGTAGTTGCAGATGCGCGTGCGGATGCGGATGCGGATGGGTGTGTGGGTGTGGGTGTGTGTGGGCTTGTGGTTGTGGATGCGGCGAATTTGAGTGCATGTGAGGATTGTGAGCTAAAGCCGCTGAAACCGATTGAGTTTCGAGCAGTGCAACATTGTTATCCTCGCGGCGCTTAGTCAATTGATTGATGCTTAGAGGATTGTTAATGTCACGCGGATTGGCGCCAATGGGATTGCGATGTAAGCTTCCTGCAGGTAGCGATGTACACGTCGACGCCGATATCGGTGCCGATACCGATATTGATGCAGGTGTAGCAGCAGCAATCGTCACCGACGTTGTCTTCATAGCCGCGTTGCTGTAACAATTGAAACTATTCGTTGCTAAAGACATAGCTGTGTTAGTATTGGGGCTGCTGCTGACAGTTGTAGATACAGATTGGAAAAGTTGACCTGGACTCAGGCCCATGCCTAGATGGCTGAACCGGTTGCGAAGCATCATGGCCCGCTCATTAGCAGAGTTCGGTGTCGAAGCAATCGATGATGAAACTGTTGTAGAGGTATTCGGTGTGCTGTTACTAATGCTACATGTTGAGCCGATACTGGAACTGGAACCTGGGCCTGAACCGGAACTGGAACCAGATATAGATCCAGATCCAGACCCAGACCCAGATATTAGCAACTGACTGCTCGCAGATGACGTCTGTTCCGTACTACCACTGTTAATAACAGAAAGCGGCACAACATTGCTATTGTTGTTACTCGGGTTGGTTGTGGTGTTGATGACGGGCGTCATTGGACTAGTTAACATATTCATATTGAGTGGACTAGCCAAGCTCGTCGTTGTTGATGGACTCTGTAGGCTTGAGAGCCCGCTCTGACATCCGGGACTTGACAGCGATTGACTCATTGACTCAGTATCCTCATTGTCGGCGAGCTTATCCCGATTAATATCGATCATTTCATCGCCGCTACCCGAGCTGCCAATGCAGCCACCACCGCTCACCAATAGGTCCTCATCGTCATCGTCATCATCATCGCTCAGCTGGCTCAGATTTCCAGTGTCGTCCATGCCGCTGCCTTCCTCTTGGCCGTCTCCATGCAGTGCCTCCATATAGCGAATGCATTTTTTTTTGCGCCTGTACAATCAAAAAGTGGTAGAAAATGGGAACTATTATTAGATGATTGAAAGCATTGCTAATATCTGCTTTAGCTATTATAATATCAAGGGCATTCCACAACAGAGATGCAGAAAAAATCAAACAAAAATAATCATAAAGAATTCATGCAATATATACATATATACATATGTATACATAAATAGAATAAACACAATGTTTTTAGTGAAAGATTTTTGTTCAAATGAATTACGTTGAAGTCGATTTTTCCTTAAATTTTCCACTCACTCATTTTCTATCAATTCCATAAACATTATGAATGAATATGAATATAAATCAATTGTATTATTACTATTTTTTTTTAGATTAAGCAATATTAAAGCCAATAATACACTGCTATCCTCTTTATTTTCTGCATATGTGATAAATATGCTTTTTGAATATTCAAGTGAATTAAAATACTTAAATAAACACATATATATTTTTTCGGTTTCAATGCTTAACATAGTATAAGTGTTTTATATTTGTATTATTTGTAGTAAATTTCATTTTATTTTTGCTTCTTTGAGATTTTATATTATATAATCTGTTATACTTTTAATTTTTTTAGCGAAATACATTAAAATAAATATAGAAAAATTAATTCTTAAGTTTCGCTGAAACGAAACCGCGATAAAAATAATGCTTTGAATACTTAGGGGAGCGCGCAAGCTAATTTTTGTATTTACATAAAACATTAACGCTCGTGTTGTATATTTCATTTATATAAAGTTTTAAAAAAGTGTTTTCGAGACCGATTTTCCTATCGAGTGGTTATAGGAACCGAATGGAAATATTTCAAATGACAATCGTTTCGATGGCATAGTTAATTGTTCAAATTTTGTCAAGATTGTATCGATTCTTACAAAATATAACGAAATTCTTCAGTACATGGGATTAACTACAGCTGTTTAACTAGAGCAACGGTTTAGCAATAAGAAGAATGAATGTGTGAAAAAACTTTCGTTTACTTATGCCTATGCTAAGAGCTTTTTCATTTTTATTAATTAATAATAACATAATTTAAAAAAAAAAATATATATATATTGAAATCTCACACTTAGTATATAATTTTTTACCATGTGAAAACACTTTCGTGTCGAACTCTATTTAATATGTATATCTATAAACGGCAAAGTCAACTTCTTTTAGTAATTTAATTAAAAATTGACATCACGTTAAAACAATTACAAGCATATTATGAGGTTTTACTGCATGCAGACATGAAAAAGTAATTGCAAAAAAGAAAGGAATTAATAAATTTGTGTTTCATGAATTCTTTTACATTATTTGTATTCAACATTATTAAAATGTTGCAAGGTGCATACGTATTGGTTATATATAAGGCTATTCCAGTGTAAAATAAAAACTTAGTACTTGTAAACAGTGTTCAGACCACCCTCATACCTTATTAACCGGAACTCAATTTTAAGACAAATTCCGTTTTCTTTAGCATCCAAGCTTCATTAAACAAATATAATTGTAAATCGTGTGTAAATACAAAAAAATGTACAGCACGACAATTCTACTTTTCGAATTTGGAAAGCAAGGCAATACAAAAAATACGAAAAAAACTAGCAAAACACATTGCAGTCGAATTAACTGACATTCAATAAAATAAAAAATCGTGGAATAACTGAGTATGCTCACAACAAAGGATAATGTACAAAGTGTTACAGCATTGCAACACCAACAACATCATCATCGTCAATAACAACAATAACAACAGCAGAAACAACAACAACAACAAAAATAGCAACAAACAGCTCTAGCAAAATAAAATGGAACTATCTATATACATACATCTGTATATGGTATATTTAATTTGTAAAACAAGTTAACGCATAATATATATATATATATATATATACGGTTTATTTACTGGCATTTTAGCAGAGTCGTAGTCGTACACCTGCCTCTATTTTACTTAGACTGCCGTGTAAATTTATTTGTACGATGTTGTCCCGGTGGATATGCTGCGTGGGTTAGTTAATTTACAAATTGACATAGGTCGGCGGTGCCTGAGGTGAAAGCTGTTGAGTACTTGAGGAAGTGCCACTCGCACCTCCAGTACCACCACCAACACTTTGACCACTTAAACCTCCAGTAGCTGACCCATTAATAGATGCCACCGTTCCATTATTTCCATTGCTATTGGACATCATTTGAAGGTGTGTGTGCGTGTGGGAGGACGACGTCGACGAGGATGATGAACTCGATGATGAGTTTGGCAGCATAACTGTTGTCGCACCTACCATTGCCGGCGTTAGCATGCCGACACTTATGCTATTCACGGCTGGCCCACTACTGACAAGGCCAACGCCCACGCTGCTGTTAATCCCCAAACCAACGTTGGGACTGATTTATATATGTATATAAGTGAAAAAAAAATTATAATTGTATTTTTTTTTTGTTTTTTTTTTTTTTTTTTTTTTTTTTTTTTTTTTTTTTATTTTTTTTTTAAAAAA